TTTTGTGTGTGTGAGCGTGTGTACTAAGTGTGTGTATGTGTAGGTGTGTATGTGTAAGTGTAGCTGTGTGGATATGTGTAGGTGTGTGTAGCTGTGTGGGTATGTGTAGGTGTGTATGTGTAAGTGTAGCTGTGTGTGTATGTAACTGTACCAACGCACTATACAATAAAACCACACTGTAGGTCATTGTGTGTAGGTGTACTTGCACAATAAAAAAAAACAGAAACATAGGTAACATTTGACTCCAACTGGGGCAGATTTATTTCAAACATTTTACCAACACACTATAGGCATGTAAAAACAAACATTTTACCAATGTACTATACAATAAAACCACAATGTAGGTTTGTAAAAACAACAAATATTTTACCAACACACTATACAATAAAATCACACTAGGTATATAAAAACAACAAGTATTTTTTTTTAAATAAACACTGGCAAAACGTTATACCTACCTGAACTTTATACCTACCTGAATGTTCCAGTATTTAGGTCGTGCCACTCCCTGAAACAGTTCTTTTTGACAGTGAAGCACAGAGGGACCTGGCACTTCCTGCAGTACACAGGTGTCTTCACCCTTTTGAGTCCAGCATCTAGGCACCTCCTGCAGTTCTTCCTGACCTTGGTGGCATCTTCCCCATAATACTCGGACATGCATGTGAGTGGTGGAGGAGGGGGTGTTGGAGGTGCAGGGCCTTCAGCAGGGCCTTCAGCAAACTCCAACAATTCTGCAGCAAGCTGCTCCCTGAAAGTCTTCTGGGTGTGTGGCTTTGTCCTGCTGGGGTCACTCCTCATCTAACAAATGTGGAAAAACAAAGAGATTAGATTAATTCACTGGCTTATACTTATAGGATAATATTAGACTATAAATGAATAATATTACACCAAATAAATAAGTAAACACATGTATATTCATTCACTGGCCATTCATTTAGAAAATGTAACTCCAAAAAGACAAGTAACACTATTTAGCATTTTGCCTAATCATTCCTGTAGCTTCTTGGCTAAGCTAGCACTATGATGCAGTTCCACCAAACACATAAGTAATATATAAAAACAGAGAGTCACTACTGTCCGGATCCAGGTCTGGCTGGAGGAGATCTTCATCATCCGACGAAGAGTAATCTGGTATGAGCTATCGTCAGCTAGCATCTCTATCACCTGCTCGCCTCGGTGGTGAAGCTCTCCCTTCTGGCTGCGTAATGCGTAATGGAGCCGGAGGGGCGTAGTTTATACTACGCAGGATCATATATTTGGAACCCATTGGTTGATTTGGGTGATTGACACCTTTTCTGAACCGTTAGAGCCAATAGAATCGAGTGACAGTTAGTAAATCCCGCTAAACACTTACGTCAAGTAGAGAGAGGTTCGCGTAAACAGCACGTGAGACAGCATTAGCTCGGGACTGCGAAACGTTATACCTACTCTGCTGCCATGAATGTAATGATAGATTATCAGGAACAATTCTAAAGTGACTAATAGACATTGGATTAACCTTAAACAGCGTTTTTATTCCCTTGAACACGAGCTTTGATCACAAAACAGCAACGGTAAGACATAATTATTGTTATGGTTTTGAAAACTGTTGTTTTTTTTCTTCTCTGTTCTGGCTGATATCTCAGTGAGTTTCTGTCCTACAGTGATGATACTTATAATAAAATAATCTGTGGAGTATCAGCAGATGATATGTAGTTTGTGCAGAACATATTAAGTTTTAAAGATCGTTTTTGCTAGTTAGCACCGGAAGTAGCATCTGCCCGTTTTAGCTAAGGGCTAATGCTAACGCTTCTTGTGAGACTTGTGTTTTGTTTCGGTAAAAATGGTTCGTATAGTCAGTTAGCTGAGATTCTTCTCGTTAATCTGGTATAACACATTAATAGGTTTTTAAATATTAAGATGCCCTGAGACACAGTGTCGTGAAAAAAAAAAAACAGGGTCCCCGCCGGCGGGGACCTTCGGGCTTGAGTTAATGGTCTCAGTTACTAGTTCCAATTATTCTTGAATATAGCTCATTGTTGATTTTGTAAATGATGGTCCCATTTAAAGTTAAATGGAAGATAATGTTGAGAATGCTTTACAGGCTGGCTCTGTTGGGATTGACAGGTATTTTAGTGTTCTCGTATTTTGTCTTCAAACTTTAACCCCTTTATAATGAGTTTTCAGTTCATGAAAGTTGGAAGTAATTTGTCAGCCTCCGTTTTATACAGCTCTACACTTCCTTGTCACTCTTGGTTCCAAAAAAAAAGATAGCAACGGCCAAAAAGCAAAAACTCAGTGCTTCAGAACTGTAGTCCACAAGCCGATGAGTTCAATGTCACAGTGATCATGTCCACTCCTAAACTCATCATGTTACTAGGTACAGTACTTGATAACATGTACTTTGTTACTTAACACCACTATCTGCCACTTAACGTATCTTTTCATCTCATCTAATAACGATTAAAGAATTCTTTGTTAGGTAACACAGAATGCACGAACACGAGGGAACCCTTATACAAGGAAAATCATAAGGCGCTTTCAGAGCGGATATTCTGTTAATACCCTCGGCTTCCATGTGAATTGATATGCATGCAGGGATTGTGGCATGGATTGTTTTTAGCAAAACATCTGCATTTAATCCCCTTTTGTGCATCATTCAGATGGCCATTATTCATACATGGACACGTGACAGAATGCTGATTTGCTATTTAAAATGTGTTACTTTCCATTTGATCCATGCAGATTGTTTTTTCTACACTTTGCCAAAGAGGTTTCTATAATAACACAACAGGGCTGAGGAAACCCACACAGTAAATCCTGGATTAGATGTGAGTGTTTAAGAACCTAGTTAAACAGTGTGCTTACTGTGTGCACATGATATATGAGCAAGACAAAAAGGCTATCATTTATGGTAATACATTGGAAATAACTAATGGCAGCAACAAAGAGTCCTGACATAATGGGTGTTTAGTGGTTGGTTGGGGTGTGTTCATACAGGTGATAGCTCTTGGGAAGACAGGACAATTGGTTTCCCTCTTAATAAGTCCACTTAGAATTTGGCAAGAAATGTCGTCAAAATGATGAAAACACTTGTTGACCTTGAGATTGTATAATGTCCCGAAAATCCCCCACTTAGTTTTCTTTTGGTGTAACTTGGCATGTCTTTGTGATTGGAAAAAAGCAAAAGGACAACAACCTTTGGCAATATTTGTAATATGACGTCCATTAGGAGATTGATTCTTCAGAGAAAGAAAGAAGTCGAGTGCGTGCGTGGCGGAGGATGGTTGAAATAATGCAGGGGGGGGGGGGCAAAACTTCAGGAAAGGAGAAAAAAAATGCAGTTTCCTTGTCAATACAAAAAGCGTTATCTCATCTGTGGTTCCTTCTCCTCCGCCCCCGCCGTGCCCTCGTCTCTCCGTGGGGACCAAACCTCCGCTGTCACCTGTCAATCAAGCTCCTGACAGATGGTGACCTTGCTCGGCAGTGTTGGGAACGATTTCAATTGACCTTGCATTTTCAGGTTGCTTCCGCTGCTGGTTTCCCTGGCAATTGGCTTTTAAGAGAGGCTCCATGACAAATACAATGGGATTGATTAGCTCTCAGATAAGTTGATTTATTGGGCTCGGGTCTGAGGGGTTGTACTACAGATAGTCACAATCGGGGTGAATAAGCTTGGATTTTTACATTGAAGGTTGATTTATTTCAGGCAGAAATCTATCAATGCATACACTATCAAACCACTTACATTCCCATAACATACAAAATGAGAATGTCCTTTTATAGAAATCTATGTAAATGTTTGAATGCATTTGCTTGGCGATTCCTTACAGTGCTCCTGTAATTCTTTTTTTCTCTCACATAACGGCTCATATAGGCATTAGTTCATATACTTTGACATTGAAGGTTGATTTTTATAGAATTTTATAGAAGTCTATGTAAATGTTGGAATACAGTTGCTTAGTGTTCAATTACACTAAATACAAATCTGAAATTGGGTTGTCTTACAGAAGGAAAATGGGAATTATGAACCTGCGAACTACTAGGTATTATCATTTAATAGAAGCTGCTATGTCCCGCAAAAGTATATCAGCATTATTTTCGCTCCGTACTGTGACTTGTTGAAGTTGTTCTTCTGGTGTGTGTGTGTGTGTGTGTGTGTGTGTGTGTGTGTGTGTGTGTGTGTGTGTGTGTGTGTGTGTGTGTGTGTGTGTGTGTGTGTGTGTGTGTGTGTGTGTGTGTGTGTGTGTGTGTGTGTGTGTGTGTGTGTGTGTGTGTGTGTGTGTGTGTGTGTGTGTGTGTGTGTGTGTGTGTGTGTGTGTGTGTGCAGGGTTAGCTGTCTAACTCAATCTGTCCAAGCTCATGTTTCTGTCAGGGTTAGCGTAAGCCAGCAGTCAGATATGTCAGACACTAAATGCCAGTTTCAGTGAACCAAGTCACTTTTTTGTTTTTGTTTCTCCCATTTCATACGTAGAGCTTAACGAAACAAATCACCGACACTGTACGGGGGGTGTGGGGATGAAGAAGAATAGATAGTGAGAGAATTATACAGCAGGGAAGACTCTACTACAAAATATGCTGATGTGTGTGAGTGTACATGTGACATGGTGATGCTGTTCCTCTCGAAGACACAGAGAACTGTCACAATATGCATTCTCCCCCTTTTTCCTCCCTGTCTCCCCCCCTGGCACTGTCTCTTTCAGTGGGGCAGTCAAAATGATTGAGGTTTTTTTTTTTTTTCCTTGGTGGAAAAATAAAAATTGTAGCCTCTGCGAGCGGTGTCTCTCACCCATTCCCTCGCCCAGTCAAGCTCATTCTCACACATCACAGCCCCTTCCTCCCTCCCACCCTCTCTCTCCTTCCTCCCCTCCCTGGCTCTCTTTTGCTCACTCTCTCTCTCATGAATGTCACCTCTACTGATGGTGGCTGCTGGAATTCACACACACATACTCTCACAACCACTCGCTGACTTTGGATGGGAGGGGGAGGAGGAGAAGGAGGGAGGGGGGTTCGGTGAGGACTGTGGGAAAGGAGCGTGCCATCGGAGGCAGATGAGGAATCTCTTGTCTGTCTGTGTCCATGTCTCCGCTGCCTTCCAGGCAACATTCCCACCAAGACCGCCAACGTCCCGCCTGCTGTTACACCTCTGGATTTAAATCGGCTGGATTACCGCTCCGACTCTCGCCTCGTTATACGCCGCTACATTTAAATATGAGGCAAAGTTGGACCTCCGTGGACTGCACATACGGTGACAAACAGTTTGATTTTTCTCGCGCTTTTAAGAGCTTCTTAGCATCCAAAATGTTCTCACTTTTCTTCAGTAAAAGTGTTTTTATATGTAAAACTAATTAGGCTCCTTCTCTGTGGTGTTGTCAAGTCAAAGTAGTTTTTTTTGCTATATACATTTTTTTTTAACTTGGCCATTTTAATGGGAAGATGAGTGGGGAAGAGGGGTAGCAATATGTCTCCGTCTTCCCCTTTTTTAAATTCAAACGTTGGATTTTCAGTTATTTTTAAAACTGAAAATGTGACTGTGCCACTTTTGTGTGTGCTCTGATAGTGTGATATTTTTGGGTTGACTTAACATCAGACTGCAGGTGAATTTACACATCTTCCAGTTTTTCCCTCTCCAAGGGAACCCTTAAACTAAACTCTTGCCTGTTAACCCACTTAGACGGCCGATCTCCCCTGTGGGGGCTTCTCTAAACCGTCTGTCCTACTCTAGTTTTTTTTGAGGAAAGCAAAAGCCGAACAAGCAAGAAGGGGGTACTGGGAAGGAAAACAAACCCCCCTCCCAAAGGTGAGAGGGGGGGAAGATGGCAGCTCTCGCCAGCTCTCTCATTAGACAGAAACGGGCTGTCAAGGAGGACCCAACCAACCGACCGGTAGTCAACAAGCGGAAGCCCTGTCCTAAGAGCAACAAGTCCCTGTGCCAGAAGCAGATCCTGGTCTTGATATCCAAAGTACGACTATGTGGGGGTCGAAAGAGCCGAAACGAGAAAAGACCAGGTGAGTGTCAACGCTACGGTTTACATTTTTCTCTGCTTTTCTCACGTGTTGGCATATTTGGCTAGAAACGAAAGCTTACATTTTTTTTATTTTAAGGAAAATGGAGCAAATGAGCATTACATTTTTACAATTTAATAAAAAAAGGAAATACCCCATCTGTTTATTGTAAAACTCAAATCATTGTCATAATGTCAGGTTTTAAATGCTACGTATTTTACTTGAAAGAGTCCTGCAGGTTTGTTAGGCTCAAAAACCTGCCAGAGAGCTTTCTTACATATATTATTAAGCAGACAAAAACTGTATCAAAAAACCTTTCCTCAAGGAATCAACCAGCATGACAGCTAGTTTTATAAAAGCACAAACAATCAGTTCACCCTGGATTCACCTTTAAAGTCATTTACTTCATTTATGTTGCAGTCATAGCTCCTAAATCCTGATGGTTTCACAGCAGCACCGGTTAACAGGCCAGTCCTATTGTTGCTTCACCTGTGTGATACACTGTTGTTAAATAAATGCAAAACTCAGCTGAAATTATTTTCCATTCACCCAACGCTGCATTAGCATTCCAAAACATCCCGGCCCAAGGGAACAATAAACTGTGATGTTAGCTACAAAAAAACATCACAACAGTTGTATGCAGTCGATGCACTCCTTCTTGTTTTATGCACATCTGCACATTGGGGATTTAAAGGTTCATATTTCAGTTACAAATTACCACATGGGCTACTCATGATTACAAACATTTGCACAACAAATAGTGTAATCATGAATGAGATTTAATAGAAATGTAAACGGATGTACACAACTGAGTAGTTAGGTTGAGGTTAATATGTTTGTTTTGAAGTTGTGTATTGAATGTATGCAGTATATGACAGACATCTGCACTCACAACATGTGGGTTGTAAATTCCAACGGTTGAATTTGATTGTTTAGATGAATCACCAACTTGTTTGATTGGTCATTGTTCTGGCCATAATTTGTGCTAAAATACTCACAAAACACTTAATTTGTATACCAAACATTACAAAGAAAGCTATTTCTAGTAAACTGGACTTACATTGTCACTTATCCTACAGTTTTGACACAGAAACAATGTGTACAAAAATGTTCCTGTGCTGGATAACTTTTTATTTGCTGTTTTTCTTTGGAAGCTTTGAATGATTAATTATGTGATGTGTTGCCAACATTGCCTACTATCTTGTCAATGGAAAATGTGCCATGACTCAAATTAGCACAATTGAGGGTGTAACATCTCTTTGATGTTGTGCTTGCAGCTACTTGTGTTGCTTTGTTGTTCTATTATACTATTCAAAAAGGATTACAAAATAAAAATAGTCAACTTTTTTGTTTGATTTCTTAAAATCCAAACCTCTTTGTAATACTTTTCATAACTGACAACGAGAGAAAATAATGTAATTTATTGATTTATTTGAGCAGTTTTCTTCACTCCTTTGGTGTGACTGACAGAATGCTGAATTATTGAATTCATGGCTGAGAAATATTTTTGCCTTATTCATGCACAACTATAAGTGTAGTATGTTTAAGCTAAATTATGCATATTACAGAAATGTCACTGAACAAAAATCCTTCATCCATAGTGTGTGGCACACTTTTATGGCTGATTGGGGAAGAAAACAGTGTTTTCAACCCCCGGAGCTAAAGACTGCATCTAAGCAGATTGATCGTGAGAATGATGAGGAATGAGCAGAGCTTTGTGCTTGATGATGACTTTCATTTGCAGGTCTGCAGGTCACCCTTGAAAAAGAGATCTTTTGATCTCAAGGGGCTTCACCTGGTTAAATAAAGGCTACAAACAAACAAACAATTTCATTCTGCACCACTGTGTTCACATATGTCTTCTATGCTTCAAACAACATTGTAATACAACAAAAAAGAGCTGTAGAGGTACCAGATGTACAGAAGATTGTTCTGTATTTTGTGTGAGAAAAGCAGGAACCTTCCCCTGATATTTGTTATGAAAGTTTTGCTTAAGTGCCATTTGTGTTATTTATCCAAATCAACAAATAGGCTACATTGATTTAATTCATTTATTGAAGGAAATTAGCATCCTGCTGACACCAACTCATTTCATGGCGACACAACCCACATTTCAGACTTTGCAAATGTGACAAAACAATAACTAAATCTAATAAAATTGCTTTATTTCTTACAGAAAGGATATTGAGACCAACTGTTTCATGTTGCCTTGAAAATCCCTTTTTTTATTATGAAAATGGCTGTAAGTTGTTTATATAATAGTAGTAGACCATGGTCATTGACGTAATTTTTTTAAATATTATATAGAACATTATAGTGAAAACTGTAAACTCAAATGTATTATTCACTTGTAGAAACCGTAAAATGAAAAAGCTCTAGTCTCTAAATATTTACCATTGATATTCTATGAAGTTTCCAGGAAATTATTATCTAAAAAAAAAAAAAATGTTGACCTGTTGATTTAGCTAATTCTGAAGGTCAGGGTATCACCATTGACCATGAATGTCTTTACAATGGTCAATGACAGAGGTCAATGAGGAAGTGCCTTAAACCTGCATTCCTTCTAGTGGCCAGCAGGACGAAGAGAAGTCTGAGGCCGTTTCTCAATGTCGAGTAAACCTGCTGCAGAGCCACTATTTCAAGTATACTACGTCATCGAGTGGCGCCAAAGGACTGTTTAAATGCATGTTAAATGCCCAGCATTCGGCGCCACTCGATGAAGTAGTATACTTGAAATAGTGGCTCTGCAGCAGGTATACTCAACATTGAGAAACGGCCTGACTGTATAGAAGTCTATGAAAAAATGCCCCAACTCACCTTATTATTACCTAAGTAAACATGTTCCTAATGCGTTTATGGTCTCAATTACAGGTTTTAGGTATTCTTATAAATAACGGTCCCATTTAGAGTAAAATAGATGATAAAGTAGGTTGTGCTTTAGCGTGTGGCTACTATGTGACTGACAAGTCACTACCATGGTGTGGTCGGGTCCCGTTGCTGTCCCGTTGCAGTGTTTTAGTTTTAGAATATTTACCCTTTCATGTTGTGTTTTCAGATCCAAAAAGTTAGTTGTAAGACTTTGATTGCCTATCAGTCTTATTCAGCAATTTGCTACGCTGAACTCTCTCGTGTCTCTTCTAGTTCCAAAAATCCCTGATTGTGACGGGAAAAACCAAGACAGGAAAGTAAAAAATAAAACATATGGCGACGTCCAAAAGTGAATACCTAGTTACAAGGAAATACATTTATATGTTCATACAGCAATCCCAGGATTCTGTAGATTCTCTACCAGTTGTGTTATTTTTAAGGAGAGTTTTTCTCAACTGTCATATTAGCATCACACCAGCACACAGGCTATATTTACAACCACTATAAAACAACTGGCTACTGAAATGATAGGATGGACATAAACCCTGCTGCTTATACAAGTTGTTGGCACAAAGCTTACACTGGATGAGATCCATGACAAACCACATAATCTGATTTCTTCCTGTTCATCATCCTTTTCTATAGTGTCCTGTTCTGTCCCCATACAAGTAACCCTCACTAGGGGCTGGCCTGGCCAATGAAAAACTCTCTCCGTCAGTGATCTGCACTGTTGCCCTCTTTTCAGATCAATTCAGCTCATTAATGTATAGTGGTTAATCAATAATCACCCTCTTAGCTTCTTCAAGGTGGAATCGGACTTGAAAGGGAAGGGATATTGAGCTGCTTGCCCCTGAGTATCACCTTTAATACCCTTCTCTAAGTTAGCTCAAATGAGCAATCTTAGCACAAACATGTGTGCATGGAAATGATAAGCAGACCTCAGAAATACAAATATGCGTTAAAAATAGTAACACTATTAGCTGATTCATTCGAAAACGAATGCATTCAGATATAGTGCAGACAGACATCCTGTAGCATTGTGGGAGCTGTTTGGCATGGAGGTGAGTTGTAGTATGTTGGCCAAGTCGACAGTTGGAGCACAAATGTATGGCTGGCGAGCGGCAGACCAGATTACAAGGAGAGATCCAGCAGAGGATAGCATTAAGCTGACCCCAAGAGATCGAGGCCCGCAAACTCGCTTACTCGACAACACCTGATCAGACAATGCAGTGTTAGGTAGCTTCTCATCAGAACTTTACTGACTGTGACAGGGGTCAGAGAGAGAGACAGAGGAAGAGACGGAGACAGAGAGGGAGGGCTAGTCTGTCGGGATAAACAGAGGTTTAAAGAAAAAAAAAAGTAAAGATATAACTGATGTCAGAGAACATTTGTATCAAAAGGTGGAGGTGGGTGGAAGTGATGGGGATGGACATGGATAAAGAGGAAATCAAAAATTCAGCAAGAGAGGTAGGGAAAGATAGCAGTGGAGATGAAAGGGAATGTAGGTGGGACTCAAAAGAGCTTTGAATCAGAATGTCATAGAGCCAGCATGGGGAGAAGATCATGAGATGGGAAGCCATGGGGCTGGATATGAACTGTCACTGCAAGACAGAAAGTCCTTCTGTTTAATAAACTGTCGACGAAGAAGGAGGACAGCTCAGAATTTTACTTTTTATGTTTTAGGTGTTTTAGTTGGTTGGTATTTAGTTGGGTGGGTGGATCATGTCGGTACAAATTACATTTATGCGTTATGTAGATGTGTGCCAATAAGTATTCAAAACTAGATTCTCAGTCTGCCATTTTCTCATATGAACTAATGGTTTGAAGTGTTGGGTTCAGAAGAGTGATGGTGCCTGGGTAGAGCTTCCAGGAGGCATAACATAACACCGTTTACAGCACGGTCAAGAAACCAGCAGTTGGTCAAATACAACAACTCTCTTGACGTTTCCTGAATTTGCCTTGACCATTCCGTTGTCGGCTAGCAATTCCTGAACTTCAATGTCTCTAGAGTTGGATGTTTGTTTTCTTTGGGGTTCAACAGCAGCCGTGATAGAGACGTTATCAACCGCCCAACGCTCTCTGTGAATGCCAAATTCTTGGGCTCAATCGGACAATACAGAGAATTCATATTAGAG